AGTGTTGGCAATCAATTTGTGAACAAAATAGCTTAAATAAGGGATTTGGTGCAGTTCGGACTCAGCCATTTGTAAGTATATATCCAGAGTTTAGAAAATGTTTTAAAGATTGAATATGAGAGTTTAGAGTGATTATTTTTTTTCCAGTTTTCACTTTAACTTAAAGTCTTTAAGGACAACTATTGTTCCAATTTTTACTTTTTCTGAAAGCGTGATCATCTAAGATTAATTTAGCTCTCATTATTTGTAGTTCATATAGAGAAGGAGCCTATAGTAGATCATTTTTTCCTAACCTATTCTGGAGTATCTTTCTTCCTTTTCCTGTTTTAGAAGTGAACTTCAAATATTAATCATCTTCTATGTAACCCTCAACACTTTTTTTATTTTTATTTTTTAAAAACAGGACTTGACAACATTTGTCTGCGTTTGCATACCGGAATTCTTGTCATTGTATGAGACTGAAAGGCTTGTGCAGGAACTCACTAAATTTGAAATGGATACACACAATATCATTATTAACCAAGTGATTTTTGATGAAGAAGGTAGTATTATTTCCCTAAGTATTACAAGCTCTTTTTCTTTTCCGCACTGTAATTTCCTCTGAATAAATGAAAACTAATAAAAAAATGCGAATATTTTTTGGCTGTCTTTAGTTGTGGAATCAAAGTTGCTCAAGGCAAGAATGCGGATGCAACAGAAGTACTTGGATCAGTTTTATATGTTATATGATGACTTCAACATTACTAAATTACCTTTGCTGGCAGAAGAGGTACAAAGATTCTCTTAAATTGTACAACCTTTAATTCTGTCATTACATGTGAAGTGCCCATACTCTTTATTTGCATGATATTCTGATCCACTTTTGTTAATAACACAACCAAACCAGGGGATAGTCTGAGGTGTCCTGTGGTACTGCACTGTGTAAGGCAACATATGATAAGTGGTGGATCTGTAAAAACAATTTTTCTGATTCATTATCTCTAAGAACTACAGTAGTCTTATATTCAATTTGCACATGATCTGGCCCGAACGATTTACCGACATTGAACTCAACAACATTTTTTATGAATAGTGATTTACAGTTGTTTTTGTGACTGTTCCTTTGCATACGTTTGAGCCAATTTCTTTGAAATGGTATCGACACATTTAACTCAAAGTGTGAGTTGTATATCACCATTAGATAGACTGTCAATTTAAATTTTATCCTTGTCTAATTATTTGTCTTTTGAAATTATAAACATTACTCCCTCCATTCGGAAAATATGTTCTCAATCAGATATGACACAACTTTTTAGAAAATAGGAACAGTTCATTTCCCATTCAAAAAGGATAATTTTACTGCACATAATAGGGTAAAGTTCCATCTATTGAAGGCCTATATCATAGGGTATGGAGGTGAGTTTGGTTTCAAAAGAAAAGTTGCTCTTTAAGAAGCTGGAATTTAATGTCAGGAAAGCCAAGATAGGAAAGTGGAACATAATTTTTGAATGAGGGGATTGTTACTTAACCATTAACTATATACACATTTTGTTTTTGTCAATAAAAGACGTAGATATATTATAGACATACAGTATTAATACTAAGTCCATTAATAGAAGTAATAGGACTAGCATAATTTCATACCAACAATTTGTATTGGTAATCAAATAGATGTATTGCCTTGGTTGGAATAGCTCTAATCCAAGGATTGGTTTGATTCCCTTTTCATAATTAGGTGTAGGAATTGTGTGTGAACTACACAGAAAGCAATCCATGTTTTGTTTTGCTCCCATGCTACGAGAGCAACTGGAATTGGGTTTTGGGTTAGGAAAAGTAAAAGTTCCTCTGAAAAGAAAAACTTTCTGCAGAAGTCGCAATATTCTTTTACAAGTCTGGTTCATGAGTTTGCCTGACTTCCTGACACCACTACCCACCCAGTCACACGCACAACCTCTTTTTGCACACAATAACTGTATTTTAATAAGAAAGAAAAACACAATTAGTGTTATTTTCCTTGGTTTTTCCTTAGGGGGTGACCATTTCGCCTTAAATTTGCACTTGCCTTTTTTGTACACTGTATTTGTTTCACTTTATGTTTTTTAATTTTTATTATTCTGCAGTATCAGTATTCAGTTTTGTTAATTTCAAACCTATTTGATAAAGTCTCAATTGAACCTGACTATAACTTGCCATGTGCGGCTTTTTGGCAGGTTCGTGGTGTTGAGAATCTAAAGGCCTTTTCACGCAATTTTACAACACCATACCGACCTTCTCTTGTTCGAGGGTCAGTTGAGGAGCTGGAGCAGAGGGTATCTGTACTACGGCAAAGATTGGAGGATGCTGAAGCAGAACTTGAAAAGCTTAGGAAAGGAAAGCAGAAGGCTTAAGCTCTCACATTTTCCTTTGCTTTTAACTTTTTTTTTTTTAATAAAAAAAAACAGTTTGGAAGGACCCACCCTTAACTTATAGGTACTACAATGATACTCTATACAATTTTATCTTTGTGCTTTGTATTATTAGAAAAATGATGAATAATTTTCTCTATATAGAGGCTTTGTTGAATTGCTTAATTGCACAACAATGTGTTGGGCAAAATTTGACATTAGACTTGTACTCTTTTGGCTGGTTTGGAGTACGTATATGATGAATTTTAACCAGCCTAGTATGGTATTGGGCGTGGATTTATGATCGTAATAGAGGCTATTAGAACGTCTTTGTGTATTAGAAAATGGATTACAAACTAATTTATTTGGCATCAACTTTTTGTAACCCAATGGTGGATATATAGTTCATGTAGATATTGGTGATGAGAGAAGCATTGATCAATGATCTATTCGAGGATGTAGGGGTTCCATGGAATTGGCATGGTTCATGGTTGATTCTAAAAGAGTTAGTCATTCTCAATACATTAGACTTCTCATCTTACATAGTATATGGTTTGATAATATGCATATCACTGGTGAGGCATAACTTAGCGATAGGCATAAGAGTGTTTCAATAATAGATTGATAAATGTGATAAAAACATAAAAAGAAACATGGATAATTAAATTTTAATTAGAAAATAATATATATCCAAAATATATTTGATTGAAATATATCCGAAATGAAACGTATCCGAAACCGAAATATATCCGATTCAAATTGTATCCAAATCGAAATCTATCCAAACCGATTTATATCCGAACCGACTCAAAACCAAACCAAACCGAAAAATGTATAGAACCGAATCAAATTCGAACCGAAATTAAACCGACCTGAATCGAACCAAACTGATTATAACATATATCCGAAAGATATCTGGACCGAAAAAATCCAATCAGAAATCAATTCGGTTGACCCGATTGCCACCTCTCGGTTCTAATGTCATGGGAACTCCTCCCTTATTACGGATAACGTTATTTAATTTTGATTTTGTATTACGTCAAATCTTAACAGTGAAGATCGACCTATTATTAAGGGTGGGTCGGAAGAAGCGAAGACCAGAAACTGAATCAAAATTGATTGAATTGTGCCAAAAATAAACTGAACCGAAAGAACAAAAACCAAATGCGAAAAACCGAACCGAACCGTTTCCAAACCGTTCTGTTTTCAGTTTTGGACTATGAAAACCGAATCGATAAAAACCGAAATATGTAAATTACAACCAAGAGTTCTATTGTGAGGAAAAAATAATCATTTTTGTTATGCTAAGTCTCCATTTTTGTAGATTTAATTGTTTAATTTGTTTTGCTTTTGCATATTTAATTATTTATTTTTTTTAATGTTTAATTGTTATTGTTGTTGAGGTGCTCCGTATAAACTCTAAATTGCTTCGCTTTTTTATATATATACAATTTTGAAAATGAAAGTTGAAGTTTGGAAATACGGAGTAATTTTTAAAACTTTAATTACATGTTGACTTGACTTATTTTACTTTTGTTTTTTATTATGAACAATTATGAGATTAAGTTGATTGTTTTAAATGTGAGCAAGTATATACTCTATGAACTTCCCTAATTTGAGGTTGCAATTCTAGTGTTTGGATAAATACTTGCAAGTGTTTGTAGTTTCTTTTACAATTTTTTAAATGTGATAAGTGTGATATATGTTTGAAAAAAATATTCTTTTAGAAACCGAATGACGGAAAAAACCGATGACCGAACCACAAAAAATCAAACCGAAAAACCGATCATTCACTTATTTTTCGGGAAACCCGATCCGAACCACCAAATAAACTTCCATTCCATTTTTGGTTTTAAGGAAAACCGAACCGAAAAAATTGAACTCACCCCTACCTATTATAGTGGATTTTAAGGCCTTTATGGCTCTCGATGAGTTGTAGTGGACATTGGACAAGTTGTCTTTCTCATACCAAAATATATATTGACCTATAACTAAACAAAAATTACATGGTATGTTAATAAGATGAAAAAAATTCTATCTTGATCTTATATATTTATCTATTTTGTCTTTTTTGAATCAAAGTAGATAAACTTTGGACCCCAATCAAATAAAATTCATAATTTTTTTTTAAAAATAAAAATGGTAATGTATTTCATTATAAAAATTATTTCAAAAAATTTATCTTGATGAAAACTATTAAAATCTTAATTTATTGTATTAATAGGAAAAACAAATTAAGAGTGAATAACTATTAAAATTGATTTAGTTTAATTTAGAAAAGTCAAACTACACGAATACACTGAGACAATGGAGTTATTTAATATATAAAATATTCTTGTCACATTTCTTTTGTAGAATTTTTGACCTATTTTTTAACGTATAATTTTTACGGAGTATTAATTATTATGGCTTTTCACAATAAAATACTCCCCCACACTCACGATCCCATCTTTTTAAAAATAATTTTATGTATAAATTTATTTGAAAAAAGTATAAATTACATATTTAAAAATTGAAACAAAAGTTTTACAAAATAAGATGCAACAAGAATACTTTATTTTATCAAATGACCAATGAACATACATGAGTAAACAAAAGTTACCCGCTCCCCACTTCTTTTTGTCATTGTTATGGAATACCTCTCAAGAACCTTTATTTTGCTGAAATAAGGCCATTCAGGTTCCATCCTATGTGCTCGAATCTTAAGGTCATTAACCTTAACTTTGCAGATGATCTGATATTTGCTTGCAGAGCTGATGAACAATCAGTGAATTGTATTATGGAATGCTTGAACCACTTCCAGGAGACTACAGGTTTGAAAATTAACCATAGCAAATTTTAAATCACTTTTGGAGGAGGAGACCCATTGATCCACCAGGAGATTCTTAGCATAACTGGTATGAACCAAGGGAGATTACCTTTTACATATATCGGTGCACCCATTTCAGCTGGGAGACTTAGCAAATGTGATTGTAAAGGGCTTGTGGACAAAATCACAACCCCTATGCAGGTAGAATTAAACTGATTAACTCTGTTCACTTTGGCATTATTAGCTTCTGGTCCAGAATTTTTATCCTTCTTAAGGAAGTCATTTACAAGATCAATAATATCTGTAGAAACTTTCTTTGGAATGGTACTCATGAATATAAGAAAGCCCCCCTGTCAATTGGAATGATATTTGTCTTCCCACTTTCAAAGGTGGTTTGGGGATCAAAAACACTGTCTGGTAGAATAAGGCGTTTGTTATGAAATTAAACTGGGATCTGGCAGCAAAAAAGGACCTTTTATGGGTCAAATGGGTTCACTCAAGATACATTAAGGGCTGTGAGTTATGGGACTTTATCCCCAAACCTGACAGCCCTTACTAGTAGAAGAAAATGCTAAGCACCAGAGGGGATTTCTGTGAGATGAATGTGGATAAAGGTTACTCAGTTAGACAGGGTTACACATGGCTGCAGGGTGATCGACCTAAACCAGATTGGGTGGACCTGGTTTGGAACAAAGCCTCACATCCGAGACACCAATTTACCATGTGGATGATCAAAAAGAAGAGACTGATGACTAAAGACAGGTTGAAGAAATTCTTGGATATTAATGACATGTGCTGCCTATGCAATCAAAAGGAAGAGAATATCCAACATCTCTTCTGGGAATGCAAGAAGACAGAGGCTACCCAAAAGAAGGTTTTCAACTGGGTGAACTTTAACAGTAAAGCTCATTATATTGATGAACTGTGGAGTGAGCTGAAGATGGTGAAGCCAAAGAAGAAAAGGATTCTTACCATTGCAGGGTGGGCAGCCTACTGCTATTTCACGTGGCAAACCAGGAATTCTATTCTGCATGGGAAGAAAAGTGTGGATGAAATGATGCTGAAAAATATTAGATTTTATCTTTGATCTTACTGTAATACAAAGATTGGTAGCATGAAATAGGCTTCGCCTTAACTCTGCTATGTAAAAAACTGATTTTGGTGGAATATAAGTGTACATTTTGTTCAAAAAAAGTTACCCGAGAGACTCAAATAGTAAAATGTAAATCATTTTGGGACGGATGGAATACTATTTTAAAATGACACCCACTTTTTTACCCCCATTGCAACCATGGTTCTTGAATGAATGTTGTTGCATCCTACAACTTGTTCTCCCTTTTTTTTTTGTTCTTACATTTTATTTTATGGGAAAAATAATAAAACTAACCTTTTTTAAAAAACAAGTGAATGAAATCAGTTTTGTTATGTATTTTCATAATGACTACAGAAAACCAACAAAAACACAGGTTAGGAAGCCAGAGTAGAGCAAAGAAATAGCTCACGTATAGTAACTTTCAAATATAAATGGTGGGGGAGCTAAAAAGAGAGGGCCCTCCATTCTTAACATTTCATCCTTCCAAAAGTTCTAAAAATGGGTTTTTGCTCTTCCCTTGGAGATGCTCTAACACATGAAATCGAGAAAACGAACAACTATATAAACTTTAAGGACCAATTAAACTACATTACTTAGATTATTAAACTTACGATGTGATATTAAACCTCGAGAATCCAAAAGCATTCAAATGCTCGTTATAACATTCAAATACCAAAAATCTCAATGATTTTCATAAACCAATACTAGTAAAAAAATGGATATGCTCTTCTTAAAATGAAGGCTTTTACTTATAGCAATAATAATAGCATAATAGAAAACACCTAATAACAATATATTTAAAACCACAAAATAACAATTACTGAGTATTTGGATTGATAAAAATACTAATCAATGTACCTTGATTTTAGTCTAATCATCCGTTAACAAGCTTCGCACGATGAGTGATAGGGTCTACTTCGACTCGAAGACCAAGCCTTGCGAGTTCAGGCACATCTAAGCTTCTCTGGAGCTCTAAACCCGCAACGACTTCTTGGTTTTCTTTGTTTCCTTCAAGTAGATTCCTTGCAGCCCAAATGCCCCATTCCCTCAAGAAGGGATTGTCTTCGTCAGTGACACACTGCTGTAACAACAAAACAATGACGTTTTTCTTTCTGATTTCGTCTTGCACTTGTTTTCTCCCATATGCACAGTTTCCAAGGACTGCAACAATGTCTCTCCTATACCCTTTGTAAGGACAACAATCAATCTGACCAGTTGTGCCCCCCACCTTCCGTTTAGTTGCTTTTTGGATGATTGCTGGAGGTTCAAGGCTAGATAGGAAAGAAAGCAGCAATTCAATTAGTCCAGATGAAACTAGCACAGCCACGGCATCATCATCTTTGAGGCCAGTGCGACGATCACATGCACAAATGTCTCTCAAGATGGTCAAAGAATAGCCCAGAATGTTGATGAGAGTGGTCGCGGTTGGAAGACTGGTTTTTCCTCTAGTGGAAAAATCAACCCTAGCAGCAGCACTTTTCAGTATCTCAAGAATGTGCAGAGCGAAATCAGGCGTTACGGCTAAATCATCTATTCTCTCATTCAAAATCTCGGAAAGGGTGCTCAAAATATATGCTTGCTCAGACACAAAATGCTCAGATGCAGGAACCATATCAGCAGCATAGCCCGGATCTAACTTGAAGAAAACTGATGCGATGTAAGACTCTTCCAGACAAATTCTTGATAGAAGCAGTTTGAACCAACTTTCTGCCAAATCAGCTGCCAAGAAAAAATGAATATATCTAAATAATTTAGGCCACAACTAGGTTTCAAATTCTTTTTGTTATATTATAAGTAAATTCCAAAAATGGTCCTTCCTAGCAAGTGGTTTTCCATATTTAGTCTCCAATTCTATGATATTACATTTGTGTTCCTTAATTTTTGAATACTATTCCATAATCAGTCCTTTGGGGACTATATGTGGAAGAAAATATTTGGTCAAATTTGGTCTAAATAACTAATTATGGAATAGTTTTAAAAAATGAAAGACCACAAATGTAATATCCTACTCCTAGCATTAAGTGCTAAATATGGAAATCCACATGTTATAAGGGGCCATTTATGGAATTTACTCTTATGCTACATATTGAAAGCAAAAATGCGAGTAAATAAAATGATGCCTACCCATGGATGCTGTCCTCACTATTTCAATGACCACATGCAACCCTTGCTGCTCATCACATAAGGCTGTCAAAAGGGCATCATCACCTGCACAACAAGTATAAATAACCATACACAAGGGATCACAAGTCTCCCTGCTTCTTACTCTGGCGATATTCAAGAACCCATGGGGAAAGAATTGGCACCAAACAGCACGTTGATGTTCTCCACCAGCCAATACAAAATTAGCCAGAAGTTGCAGAGCCAACCGAACAATACCGACATTATTATCATAAGTGGGCCCAACGGAATTGATAATAGTTGAGACAACTTCTGCTCCGTTCTTTTCAAGGAAAGCATTTTGGTTTCTTATTTCTCCTGCGCACAAGTTTCTAAGTAACTTTAAGGAGAGTGAAAGGACTTGATGACCCACAGGATACAAGACGGATAAGCAAAGTCGTAGTACTTGGGAAACGATATTTAGGGAAGCAAGGTCCGAACGACCTTCTACCGTTTTGGCAATTTCAATAAGCTTCTCAAGAGCCGTTTCTATAGTAGAGCAATTTGAAGCCATAAGTAATGGTTGGACAATATTTTCTGCAATTAACAGATCTGGCTCTGTGTCCCTATCCATTCTCTAATCTCTAGCCAAGCAGATACAGACTTGAAGCGAAAAATCAAAACTCCTAAATGAAGTATTATATGTACTTCACGACACGTCCAAGAAAGGTCTGATAAGATTCCGTCAGTAATCCTGCAAATATATAATTCATGAAGACATCAAACAACTAGATAATGCAGAAGGTCGAATTTTAGTCCACCAACGAATTAACATCAATGGATTGTACTAAGATATAACACAGATTCATCAACTAACTAAAGATTGGATATAAAACACTCACTCCAACAGAACCCAATTGTAGACGATACAGCAGAAGGCATTCTTGAGGGTTCTGAGATATGTTAGTTTTATTTAGAAAAATGAACCCTTCAATTGTCCCTTACGATAAAGTGACTTCACTTCAAGTTCTGAAGCAACAAAATCTATGGCCAATAGAAAAAAAGTGAGAACCCAGATTTGACGAATTTTTCAGGAAGTTTTTAAATATGTAACTTTTATTTTTTTATTTTTAAACCAATATTTAAATAAAATGAATTGAAAAAACTTGATATTTTGCTTTGCATTGCAAAATGTGGCAATCATTTTGGGACGGGGGGAGTATTAATTAGAAAAATGAACCCTTTAAATATCCCTTACAATAAAGTGACTTCATTTGGAGTCCTAAAGCAACAAATTACAAATCTATGGCCAATAGAGCAAAAGTGAGAACCCAGATATAAGTTGAATGATGATGTAGCAATTCCTCACAAATTCAAAAAAAACATCACTTTTTTTTGCCAATAAAAAAACCCAAAATCTAAAGCTAATGGACAAATCCTAATTACTTGAATCAAAACATGAATCTAACCAGGGCCGGTCCTAAGAATTTAATGGCCTGGGCCGACACAGAAAAAAATGACCATAAAGAACTTATGCCTAATAATTTAAAATTTATGTTTATGTTCCTAAAATATGTATTTTATCTTTTAATTGGTATTCCCTTGTCCGGTATATTGATATTTTGAGAAAAGTTGTCCTCGTATACCTTCCCTTTTTTTAGTGATCAAAACTTGTTGGGACTTGGGATTCATATTAAACATCATTCAGAAGAGTTAGTGGATTGACAGAAGAGTTAGTGGAATTACAGACAAATGAATTCTACCATCACCTCACTCAAACCATATAAAACTCGGGTACCATTTTAAGAAAAAGAACCAAAACTAAAGGTAAAAACGAGTGGAAAATAAAAGTATGCAAAATAATGAACAAAAATATCTGCAAAATAAAGGGAAAATAAATGAAAAAGAATATTCTAAAATAATTAACATTTAATATACTCTAAGAATAATCCTACATTTAATATTCTAAAATAATTAAATGAAGAATGAATATGAATTAACCAAATAGAAATTGACAATTATTTATGGCAGTGAGCAAATCTTCCTCCATAGACTACAATTAAAATTAAAATCCTTTATGACACATTATTAAACTTTACAACCAGAACCTAAGCATTTGCAGCAAAATCAAAGTTAAACTGTTAAAATTACGCCTGAGTCAAACAATTACAACAACAACAACAACCCAGTTAAACCCCACAAGAGTAGGGTCTGGGGAGGGTGTGTGTACGCAGACCTTACCCCTACTCGAAAGTAGAGAGGCTGTTTCCAAAGAGGCCCCCGGCTCAACGTCGAAAGTTGCATTGCTTGACTAACTGCTACTTCATTAATTAAAGAAGCGCAGACAGTTTAGAGATCCATTTTGATTTATTCCATCACACCCCAAAGCCAAAAAATGGTGAAATTTTGGCTCCATCGGAGATGATGGAAAAACAATTGAAGAATTGCAGAACATAATTGAAGAACAATTGAAGAACATAAAACATTTGCAGCAAAATCAAAGTTAAACTGTTAGAGTTATGCCTGAGTCAAACAATTGAAGAACATAAAACATGTGCAGCAAAAAAAAATTGTAAGACAAAGTTACAACGAAAAATAAAAAATGACATTGGCCCAAAAAAACTTCCAGTGAAAACCTATAACCTAAACATCCAAGCAACTCAAGTGAAAAAAGAAAAAATAAGAATATGAAAAATATGAAGTACATAATTCTTTATTGTAGTAACAGATTAATTGCAACTGCTCTACAGTCAATTGAAAATATAAATCACCAAACATTCAAGATTGGAACAAAAAAAAATATAGTCGCTTAAGACTCGAAACTGAGACAAACTCAAATACCCAAAACTTCACAACAAAAAAGCTGAAAATCTGATGGAATTGAAGTGATAGTAAAGGATAGATTTGAACTAAAATCTGGCAGTTTTAATAGAAAAAGAAACCCAGAAGTGCAGAGCTGAAATCTCAATTCAAGCATTTTCTTTTACTTAGAAAAATTACAATTGAAGAAATCTAACTTGCAACTGTTTTAGATGATTAAATTTCTAAGATAGTATGAGTAAAGGATGTAAAGCCAACGGATAAAACTTACAAAAGAAAGATGAAACTGAAAGGATGACATTGGCGAGGACTCAAGAGTAAGTGAAATTACCTGGCGGCGGCTGGCGGGAGAAGAACCGGCAACTGGCCGCGAAGGTGAGGCTGATTTCTGACGGGTCGATCGAAGGTAGAAGCTGATTTTTGCGAAATGCAGCGGCGTATAAAGTATCAAGGATAATATTAATATTTAAATGTATTATTTGAATATATTCTTGTGTATATCCCTATAACTACCAATCCAGTAGCTAAAGTATGGGAACTGATGTGCTATAGTTTAGGATCAGCTCCTGACTCTTCTAACGGAGCTTCTGTATAAATTTGTGTATTCTCTCATGAATTGAATTATCAATTTGCATTCTTCTAAACCCTTTATATGGTATCAGAGCTACTGCTTTAAACAGATTTTTTTTCCTTTTCGCTGCACTCCAATTTCTCTTTTCCGGCTTTGCACTCATTGCCGATGACAACATCTCAGTCCGGCTCCGCGGTATCAGGTTCGTCTTCTGCATCGGACCTCATCCGCATGTCCGCCTCCAAACACTTTCCAATTAAATTAACCAAGACAAATTTTCTCGTATGGCGTCGTCAGGTACAAACCACTCTTGTTGGTTTGGATCTTGTTGGTTATATTGATGGCTCAATCAAATCTCCTTCGCCGTTCCTGGACGGCGCTCATACGCAGACCAACCCTGCATATACCGCTTGGTATCGTCAGGATGCTATCCTCCTCAGTGCACTCCTCGGTAGTTGTACTGAGGCCGTCCAGCCGTTGATATCGCTTGCCGATACTTCCGCTGATGCGTGGTCTCGCNCGGATTATATCACTCAAAGCTCAACTCGCAAAAAATCCTCGCGGGAATCGTACAATTGAAGCTTTTATTGCCGACATGACGGAAATCGCCTCTGACTTGGCCCTTGCAGGAAGTCCAGTGTCAGAGGAGGATGTTGCTGTTCACATTATGACTCAATTGGGGGAAGATTATTCTGCTATATATCAGTCTTTACGGGGTCGTAATGATTCCTTTTCTATTGGTGAACTAAAGACTATCTTGGAGGATTGTGAGCGTGAACTTCTTGCTCGTGCATCTGCTGTGTCGGACGTTATTCCCACAGCTAATCATCTTCAGCGTGCTCGCGGTGGTCCTTCCCACCGTGGAGGTGCCTCTGGTCACTCACGTGGAGGTCAACATGGTGGTCGGGGGCCTCACATGCATGGCAATCGGGGTGGACGCTTCTGCAATTTCTGTCAATACACGAGTCACGACACTCGATTTTGCCGAAAACTACAACGTTTTCTAAAGGATAATCACGTCTCTATTGGTTCTACCTCCTCCAATCATCCCACTGCTAACATGATCACATCTCCTGGGGGTGCGAGTTCTGTTGACCCTCAATGGATTGTTGATAGTGGTGCTTCCCATCATGTAGCCAATGATCCATCTTCTCTAAGCACGCTTATGGATTATGGTGGTCCGGATGAAGTTCGTTTGGGTAACGGTAAGACTTTAACGATTTCTCATACTGGTCGATCTAGTCTGTCTACTCCTACTCGTCCTCTCATGTTGTCTAATGTCTTAGTTCCTACTCTTCAGAATAATCTTCTTTCAGTCTCGCAATTATGTCGCACTAATCGTGTTTCTGTGGAATTTTTCTCTAATTTCTTTTTTGTAAAGGACCTGTGCACGGGGACAGTTCTGCTCCGGGGAACCACCAAAAATAATCTCTACACCTTGCCGTCTCAGTCCTGTGCACCCCAAGTCCACACAACATCTGTTGCTGTTTCCTCCTTAGCCGATCTTCATCATCGGTTAGGGCATCCAAATAATAAAACCATGCGCTCGATCATTCATCGATGTACTGCATTTTCTAAATTTGATGATTGTTCCAATTTTCATTGTTCATCATGTCATATTAATAAAAGTCATAAATTACCTTTCTCCTTTAACACCTTGTCGAGTAGTGCGCCTTTGGATTTACTTTATACCGATGTATGGAGTACCTCTCAATGTTCTTTAGATGGATATTACCACTATGTTATTTTTGTTGATCATTATACTAAATACATTTGGTGGTATCCACTTAAACGTAAATCTGATGTTTTCCTCATCTTCTCTCAATATAAATGCTTGGTGGAAAACTTCTTTCAACGTTCCATTAAATGTGTTTTTTCAGATAATGGGAGATAATTTATTAAACTCATACCATTGTTTAATCGTTACGGTATATCTCATTTTACCACTCCTCCCCATACGCCCGAACACAATGGAACGGCTGAACGCCGCCATCGTCATATTGTTGAAACAGGACTCTCTCTTCTTCATACGGCTGGCCTATCTATGTCATTTTGGTCTTATGCCTTTCACACCGCGGTTTACCTTATTAATCGCTTACCTACTCCAGTACTCTCTAACCGGTCTCCTTATGTCTCTCTTTTTCAGAAATCTCCAGATTATCAAAAGCTCAAGCCTTTTGGTTGCTTGTGTTATCCCTGGTTACGTCCATATCACTCCACAAAGTTGTCTCCACGATCTACTCCGTGTTTGTTTCTTGGCTATTCTACGTCTCAGTCTGCTTATAAATGTTATGACGTGAGCTCGGGTAAAATCTATGTCTCCCGACATGTCAAATTTCTTCCCCATATTTTTCCCAATGTCGTGTCTCCCTCCACCTCAGATTCTCCAACCCCCACTATATCTCCACTACCCACACTGCCTGCTCACTCTCAAACTAATTCCACTCCCTCCATGTCACCTCCACTATCTCATAATTTCATTTCCCCTAGTTTAACTACCCTGCCAGTGGCTACCTCCAATTCTCAAACCTCTCCAGTTCCCTCTATTGTGTCTCCTGGCAGTCCCATTGGGACGCATGGGTCTCCTTCCCTCATTCCTCACAGTTCCCCCTCTATGTCGTCATCAACGTCCACCGTCCCTACCTTGTCTAATCGACCAGTCCGTGAGCGAAAGTTGAATCCCCGTTACTTTAATGACACTCTTATTAATCATGTTGACACTGTTGCATTGGTAGAACCATTAACCTATATGCAGGCCCGCAATGATCCAAGGTGGTGTGACACTATGGATGCCGAGTTTCAGGCGCTTCAGCGCAATCATACATGGGATCTTGTCCCGCGTTCTTCTCAACGTGGGTTTTTCGTATTAAACGGAAAACTGATGGCACGGTTGACCGCTTTAAGGCTCGCTTGGTAGCTAAAGGATTTCTTCAAGAACCGGGACGTGATTATTTTGATACATTTAGTCCGGTTACAAAACCGGTCACCATTCGACTGATCTTGACTCTTGCTCTTAGTTACTCCTGGCCGCTACGTCAATTGGACGTCAACAATGTCTTCCTAAATGGCACCTTGCATGAGGAGGTTTACATGGAGCAACCATCTGGCTATCGGGACTCGGCTCACCCCGACTATGTTTGTAAGCTTCGTAAGGCGCTTTATGGCTTGAAACAAGCTCCGCGAGCTTGGTACCTCGAACTAGCTGCCTTCCTAATTAGTTTTGGGTTCCGAAAGTCGAAGGCGGATGCCTCTCTTTTTCTCTACTCCGCTGGCTCTATTCGACTTTATTTTCTTGTCTATGTTGATGACATTGTTATAACAGGAAATGATAGCTCTACTCTTGATTTATTTGTGACGAAGCTCTCAACCAGGTTCTCGCTCAAGGATCTTGGACCCTTGCATCATTTTTTAGGTGTGGAGGTGATTCCTGTCTCTGGGGGAATTTTTCTGTCTCAACGGCGGTACATCCATAATATTTTGCAAGAGCACAATATGGTTGAGGCTAATCCAGTAAGTACTCCATTATCCCCCTCTTTGCCGCTTCGCCTAGATGATGGGACAGCCTCTTTTGATTCAACACAATTTCGGCGGCTTCTTGGTTCTCTACAATATTTAGCCTTCACCCGGCCCGACGTCTGCTTTGCGGTAAACAAGTTGTCCCAATTCATGCATGCTCCTACACTCACTCACTGGCAAGCGGCCAAACGCGTTTTGCGTTATCTTCGTGGCACTCTCTCTCATGGTTTATTCTTACGTGCTAAGGTGCCGCTCCAGCTTACGGTATTCTCCGATTCTGACTGGGGTGGTGTTTATGATGGTGGTAAGTCTACCACGGCCTATGTTGTTTATCTTGGTCCAATCCCATCTCCTGGAAGTCCACTCGACAAAAAACTGTTTCTCGTTCCTCTACAGAAGCAGAATATAGGGCACTTGCCCATGCTACCGCAGAGACTTGGTGGATAAAACATCTTCTTCACGAACTTGGGATTTCAGTTCCGCGTGCACCTGTGCTCTATTGTGACAATCTTGGTGCTACTTATGTATGTAAAAATCCAGTTTTTCATTCTCGTATGAAGCACTTGGCCTTGGATTATTTTTTTGTTCGTGATCTAGTTGCTGCTAATCAACTGCATGTCCGCCATATACCTTCGTCTCAGCAGTCTGCAGATATTTTGACTAAACCTTTGGGGCTTCCGTTGTTTGGCAAGTTTCGGTCCAAGATTGGTGTTTCTGACGATACGCCAATCTTGCGGGGGCGTATCAAGGATAATTAGCTATTAATATTTAAATGTATTATTTGAATATATTCTTGTGTATATCCCTATAACTACCAATCCAGTAGCTAAAGTATGGGAACTGATGTGCTATAGTTTAGGATCAGCTCCTGACTCTTCTAACGGAGCTTCTGTATAAATTTGTGTATTCTCTCATGAATTGAATTATCAATTTGCATTCTTCTAAACCCTTTATATAAAGTAGGCTGATATAAACGGAAAGGGGTATAAAGTATGGGTTATGCTACACTTACACCACAAATTGTACCCCATTTGTACACCACAGTTATACACAAACATTTTGATGGTTTACACCGACACAAGTGTTGGTGCGTTAACGAAAATTTACACGGACACAAAGTGTTGGTGCAATAACAAAAATTAGTTTTACACCAACACAAAGTGTTGGTGCAAAGCTACGGGGTACAAAATGGGGTACAAAACATGGTGTACAAATAGCTTTATCCATAAAGTATACAGAAATTTTCCTAAAAAATCTAGAATACAAAATAGGATCATGCTACACTTACACCAAAAAATATACCCCATTTGTACACCACAGGTTTGCACAAACATTTCGATGGTTTACACCGACACAAGTGTTGGTGCGTTAATAAAAATTCACACGGACACAAATGTTGGTGCATTTAACAAAAATTAGTTTTACACCAACACAAAGTGTTGGTGCAAAACTGCGGGGTACAAATTGGGGTACAACCCTTGGGGTACACATAGCATAATCCTACAAAATACGGGGTAGAAAAAATACCGAACCGAAAAAATATCGAGAAGGAACCGAACCGTATCAAATCGAATGGTCGGTACGGTACGAGGTGACATCCCATACCAAAAATTCCAAACCGAACATATATACTAACATATTATAAAAAATAATACCCCGGTGTAATATTTTTATAATCTTTCACTAAATAATAATTTTTCAAAAAAATTGGTTCAAGTTCTATTATGTGTAAATTATACTTTTATTTGAATTTTAGTTTTTGTGTGTGAACATAAAAGTATTCAGAAAGATACGAAATACTCCTTTGTTGTCGTTCATTTTTTAGTTTGTGAAATACTCCCTCCGTCCTATAATGATCTTCCCGGTTCGCAAAACGAAGAAAAATCCTAAGTTTTTTCAATCTATTTTATTTAAATATTGGTATAGAAATAAAAAATAAAACATACATATTTAAAAACTACACCAAAAGTTCAACAAAACAAGTGGTGACAAGAATATTTTATTTTATCATATAGGCCATAAAAAAACACAAATAAATATAAATTTCCGTGAAGTTGGAATAGTGCTCTGGGAAGATCATTATAGGACGGAGGGAGTATAAACAAAGTTTCGATACGCATCTCTTGCATTTAAATATTCAATTTTTTTAATCTTTCATGTTTTTTATTTAAATTCACTTTTAATTTTCAAAAATAAAGGGGCATTGTTAAATTTTAAGGTGTAAAGTAGGTACGTATATTCATCCCGATTTGTACCGAAACAGATACCGAACGATCTCGATCTCGATGGCGGATCTAGGAAATATTTTCACTGGGGGCATTAAATAATTTAAAAAACAAGGGGCAATTAAATAGATAGAACATACTTCTTTCCATTAAAATTAAATTAAAAAATAAGATACAATTAAATAGATAGAATATATCTCTTACAAATATTCTATTAGAGTTTTCATCCTTTGAAAGTGATCAATTATATCTTCGTTTGTAACATTTAAAAATGCTTCCTCTTTCACAGCATAAATCGCCCAAGCATTAAGACACTCATCTCCCATTCGATTCCGCACATTTAACTTCACATGCATGTTTCATTGTAGAAAAAAATCTCTCTAAATTTTTTTCTTTCTGAAAGATCACATGGAAAATCACTTAAATATATTTCTTTAGCTAGTGAAGGTATGGATGATCCAAAATCAAGTATTGAGGGGGTCGTCTGCTTTAAGAACTTCTCCATTATCTAAAAATATAAAATGAAATAAACTTTTTTCTACAAAAGCTATGACAAAAAATTAGAACAAATTATTCAAGTATATCAACTGACAACTAATATCTTTTAAGAGTCATCAATTCATATGTTTTGCGATAATTATAACTAATGCTCCCTTCATCCCAAAATACAAGCAATAGTTACTATTTCAACCTCTCGATAACTTTTGTCTGTTTACTCGCCTTGGTTGGTCATTTAATAAAATAAAATATTTTTGTTGCATCTTGTTTTGTAGAACTTTTGATCTATTTTTTAACGATGTAATTTTTACATTTTATTTCTCTACCAATTTATAAATAAAATAATTTTAAAAAAGATGATATTTTGCATGTTGTTCATAATGTGGCTTACAATTTGGGACGAAGGGAGTAATAATCAACATAATAAACAACATAATAGCAGCCTTCAAAAGCAGGACAACAATTCTCATTTCTCAATTTCTCCTATAATACTAGATGACAATTAGGTATATGTTTCCTACTTTCCTACACCGTCAAGCATATCTTCACTATTTATATCGTACAATTGGGTGTATGATTTTTCTCGTACAACGAGTAATTTAGGAGAAACAACAAAGAGCCATAATAAAAGAAGGAAGTTTCATCTCGCGATCAAAAGAGCTAGCTGCGATGAAAAGATGAGAGCGGCGGAAACCATGCGATGCGATGATGACCATAGTTCACTGTTTTACTGGTCGAGTGGTTGAACCGGCGGTTCTAACATTTTTAATAAATAGATAAATAAATAAATACACACACACACATACATTGTGGCATTGAATTAAAACACTAATATATGATTAATAAAATAATATTTCCTCTATTTGTAAATAAAGAATTGATGTTTGACTAAATTTATAATTCAACTTAATTTACTTGAGTTGTTTCATTAAATAAAACATAAAATTTACTTATTTAAAAAATCTTAGAAATAAAAATATATATAAAACATTTGTGTGATATGCACTCCATATCAATTACTTAAATGGGTTTTGAATTTTAGCAAAAATAAACTATATACTTAAAAAGTACTCAGTATTTGATTAAAAAAATTTGAATAAAGCATATAACAAATGAATTGTAGGAATTTAACAATAAGCAATTTAGCAGAGATGGCTAGAGAAGCTTCTCCTTCCATGCAGTCCTGTGTTCGAACCCCGGCGTGCAGTTTTTAAAATTCTTCATAAAAGGTATGAAAAAACTGGATTTGGCGTTAAAACCGGCCGGTTTTTTCCGGTTTTAACTGGTTTCCACCGATCCATGGCTGAAGGCGGTCTGAATGCCCGAACCGGACCGGTTTGGTGTCTGGTTTACCGGTTTCCGGTCCGAACCGGCCGGTCTGGTCTAGTTTTTAAAACTATGATGATGACAGTGATGACAGCGAGGTTAGGCAGTGATGACAATGAAGAGATGGGAGCGGTGACAACGACCGGGGTCGGTCCTGAGAATTCAATGATCTGGGCCAAGACTAGAAAAAATGGCTCTAAAAACCTTATGCCTAAGACCTAAAAAATTAAAGTATTTAAACTAATTATATTTAATTGAAAATTAAAGTAATAATATTATAAAATTTCTAATAATTATTAAAGACAATACAAATTTTAAACTAAGACTAAACTTGAAATAGTGTAACATCAAATCTAAAAAAATAATTTTTTCATATTAAATGAAGAACACATTGAATCATCATTCATAGCAAAGATTATTAATTAACAAAATAACAATTAACAATTAATCCTAGATTTACTTAACAAAATAACAATTAAATGAAAAATGAATATGGATTAACAAATACTCCGTAAAAATTAACCTTAGATTCAATTTTAATTTACTCCAAGAATGAAGAATGGATATGAATTCTGAATACCTCAAAACTAAACTCCTAATCTTCTTGAATAATCTAAGGAAATCAAGAAACGATTACTCACATGAAATTTCTAAAAAAAACTGATTTCCAACTATGAAATAAAAAATGATTTACACTAAACTTTAAAAATACTCATCAAATATGCAGTTTATAAAAAAACGTATGCATAATAAACCGAATGCGTAGAAAAATAAATGCAAAATAACTCAAATATTTCAGATTCAGGTTAAAGACTTACCTCTTTGGATGCTATTTTGGGCGAAAAATGGACTTTAGGTCCGGAATCGGATTGCAGACGTCAGTGGGGCACTGCTCTGTGGGTGGTGGCCGTCTGTCTATAGCTCCGGGAGCTGGACGGCTCTGTACCGCTGGAGTGAGGGCCGACCGCTAGGTGGCTGAACCCTGAACTTAGGGGCAGCCTCTTAATGGTTCAGATGTCTGAATGGTTCAGCACTTAATGGTTTAGACTGTTTGTTTCAGCCTCTTAATAGTTCAGATGTCTGAATGATTAAGAGATTGCCTCTGAATGGTTAAGTATTATACAGAGTCTGAATGATTAAGACCTCTTATCTGAATTGATCAGACATTTGCCTCTGAATAGTTAAGCAATATGCTAGCTCTTAATGGTTCAGACCTCTTACTGGTTCAGCACTTAATGGTTCAGACCTCTTACTGGTTCAGCACTTACTCATTCAGAAGTTGCCAAACAGCCCCTTAGCCTAGTTCGGTTCAACTTATTTTTTTTGTTATTTTTTCTTATTCTTATTAAAATCATATCATATCAAATCAGATCGAATCAAATCAGATCAGATCCAATCAAATCAAATCAGATTCAATCAGATCAAATCCAATCAGACAAACCATATCAAATCAGATCAGATCTCATCAAGAATTATTATTATTATTATTATTATTATTATAATTAATGTTATTATTATTATTATTATTATTATTCTTATTATTATTATTCTTAAAAATAAAAAGAATAAATTTTAGAAATAAGTTAAATAGAAAACCGAGAAAGTAATCCTTAATTATTAGACTTCGAAAAAATTATTTTAAAATACATTGACAATCTCAATCTAATTCTACTTTTAAAGTACATTTTTATTGATATCTGTAATTTGAGTTTCCAAAGTTTTGATCTTTTATAAGGATGAGATACTTTTATAAAAATACTATCTCTTCAATATATTGATGATCTAAATTTAATTACTTTTTAATGTATATATAAATTAAATATTTATTCTAATGTATATATGAAGTAATTATTAAAATATTAAATTAATATTCTAATTTCCCAAAAATAATCATAAAATAAAAAATATTATTACATTATAATATGAATAATTCTAATATATGAATTAACTAATTTTATTTTATTAAAAAATAATCATAAACAAATACTGATTATATTATAATATGAATTAGTATTACAATTTTTAAACATTATCATAAAGTCAAATCAAACGATTGATTTGAATTTTAAAACAAAGCATAATCAACCAGACCAGGTCAGACTAGATCAGACCAGATTAGATCCAATTAGATCAGACCATATCAGATCGAATCAAATTAGATCAGATCAAATCAGATCAGATCCAATATGATCAGATCAGATCCAATCAGATCAAATCAGAACTTATTAAAATCAGATTAGATCAGAAAAATAAGTTGAACGGAACAGAGCCTTAGACTCCTGGAGTACTAGTTTTGGGGGTTTGGATTTTGGGGTAATTGGCTTACATATGTATTATTTGTAAATAATATTAACAAATATTTGGGACCCTGTAGATCATGGGCCAAGTCCAGTTGGGCAGCCCGTCCCATCGGCCCTGACA